TTAAAGAAGAAATAAAAAACAAGAAGTCATCAAATCTCTTTAAAGCAGCTGTCAAACAGCACCTATTTAAATTAAGGGACGTCAACAAACTCTCTTATTTGCAAAGATCAAATTAATATTATCTAACTAAAACGAACTTATCCCTTTTGGATGACCACAAACGAAGACTATATCACAATACAATTAGTGTTTCTATTCTATAAACATCTATCAGATCGTTAGTTACAAGGCTATCAGATCGTTACGTACAAGGCTAAGTTTTTTGCTTTATTACAACTTATGTGTTTTTAATGTCACGTTAAGTTCACATGAAACTTATTGCATGGTTGCATTTGAAATGGGCTTTATGATAAGACTGCAGTCTCCTACTTGTTCCTATTATTATTTTAATTTTTATCTTATTTATAAATGTATTAAAGTTAATTGTATGATAAATATACAGTGACGAAATAAATTTAAAAGATAATTATAAAATAAAAGATAAAAAACAGTATCGGCATTTTTCTTTACATTGGTTTCGGTAAATAGTGACCCAATTCATTATATCTTTTATAAGTATGAAACTGAACACACTAAGTTAGCACAATATAAAAGTTATAATGATAATAATGATTATAACTTTTATATTTTGCTAACTTAATTTTGTCTGAAAGGAACTATTTGTTTACTATAGTACACAAATAGTTCCCTTCAGACATCATCGTAAATTAGAAACATTTTCGTTTTTAATGTTGAAAAACTAGGTGACTCAAATATTTATTAGAGATTCTTATAGGTCCTACATTAAGATTCAGAAATTTAAAAATTTTATTAAAAAAATGAATGTTAAATCTTAAATCGGTAAAAATGTGGCAAGTGAATAGATAATTTATTTGCAATTAACAAAGTTTAGCCAAATGTTATATTGCTTTATTATGTTTTATGAAGTTGCTGATAACGTTTTTCTTTATGTAATCTGATAGTATTTCGTTTAAAAACATATTTATTAAACCGGGTAGCGGAGTTGGAGTAGGAGTTGTGACATTTTTAGCGGAGTCGTAGTCGCAAAACAAAATCGCGACTTTTTGCTCACTAGGAAGAAATATTACAACTCCCACTAGGAAGAAGTATTACAACTCCAATTGTAATACTTCTTCCTAGTGGGATAACAGACGTCGAAAAGACGTCTTTTAAAGTCTTATTTGCGAGATTTTGAAGAGGTCTTTTTTTAATTAATTATGCAAATCTAAAAGACTTTTTTTTTTCGGCATTGAAAAGACGTCTTTTTTTATCGTAATCCTGTCATGAAAAGACATAAATGTGCGTCTTTAAGACGCCTTTTTTGAGTCGAATAATCGAATCTAAAAGACCTCTTTTTTACATCAAAAAGACGTCTTTTTTATTCTTAATCTTGTCATTAAAAGACATAAAAAATGCGCCTTTACACTAATCGACATATATTGCGGTTTATTACAACATATTGCAATATTATTGGGCGTTCAATTTAAATTGCTATATATTGCTCAATTAATTGTCCAATAAAATATCAATAAAGTTATACAAATGTAATGTGTTTGTAAATGTAATTTAGATGCATTTAAATATAAATAATTCTGATGCTTATCTAATTGCCTGTGTCGTTTTTTTGTTTTACATAAATTTAATGGGTTGATAAGCAATAGCAAGATTGTTGTTAAAATATTACAATATAATTGCAATATAATTGCAATATAATTGTAATATTATTGCAATATTATTGCAACTAATATTAGGTAATCGATTTTATGATTGTAACTGAAGTTACAAGCATGCTTTCATTGGACTTTATACTGCAGTGTAAGTGCGGCCAGGCAGGTTTCTTCGGCGCACGTTAGACATGGCTTGCATGAGCCCAGCAAACCTGTCTGGCCACACAAGATACCCGTGCAAAAATAACATAGTTATTTATAAGTAAAGACTCATAAAATTTTATTAATGGTGAATATATGTGCAATGAAACGAAATTTTTTTAATAGAAAGTACGAGAGAAGAACTTTACATTTTACGGCTGAGTCTACTTCTTCTGAAGAGGAAATTACTAATAGTAGTTCTCAGTCCGACTGTAGCAATACAGATGATAATGTTAATGATGGTAGTTTTACCCAAGAGACAGAAGAAATTGTATCTATAGTATCTGAGGAAGAAAATCAAATTCTAGTATCTGAGGAAGAATCGAGTGCTTCCATGTTTCAGTTCTTTAGTTCTAATCCATTTGAATGTTCTTTATTGGATTCAATTGTTAACAAAAAGTTTATGTTTTTAACCTTGTTGTATTTAATGATTAGCAATTCATTTACTAAAATCGCATTTGATAGATTTTTGAAGACTTTGCTGGTATGTTAGATGTAGTTTAAATTGTGCAATGTACTTGTAAATGAATATTGTGAAGCTAATAAAATTATCAATCAACTTAGTCCTTAGCAATAAATGTTGATCTGGCTATTTATCTCTGGCTGCTACCAGAAATGGTGCACATTGCCAATAATTCGTAAAAAAAGTCTGATAAAGTAATGCAGAACGTTCCTTATTATAAAACATTTTACTTGTGAAAATTTTATCCGACTTTTTTTACAAATTATATATTATATAATATTTTACAATTATTTATTATATATTTTATATCTATAGTTTTTACAAATTATTTTTTTTACAAATTATTAAATTATAAAAATAATGAAGTATGTCATATTTTTATTTCAACTTGAGGCTGGGGTCTGGCCCAGGCTTAGTTTGGTTGATAAAGCTTGAAAAAATATATTTTTAATTTTTAAATTTTTTTAATAGATTTTTCGCTGTATAAATGACATGCCGTCATCTCATAAAATGATTCGTAGATTTGTTACTAAAAATATATTCTCCCATACTGAACCAACGCATAAATATTATTGTCATAATTGCTGCACAGCTTTAGTTGACACGTGTAAAATAAATACTCATTGTTCATCCCATATCTTTATATTGGATATCATTAGCCAAATGAAACTTGTTTTATTTCTGAATTTGGATGCAATTAAATCATATCAATTGGAAATTATGTCAGGTAAAAGAAAGAGTGATTTTATTTCTAGACCAAATTTTGTTGAAAATATGAAGTCTGCAAATGTTTTACATATTCATTTATTGATGTCAACAGATGGTGGAGAACCATACACAAAAAAAAAGATTACAATGTGGCCATTTCATGCTATTATTTTAGATTTACCATCTTATAAACGATTCCTATTTGAAAATACACTACTTCTTGGTTTATGGTTCTCATTATTAAAACCTAATTGGAATGCTTATTTAAAGGTAATTAAATTATTGATTGTTATTTTTTATTTTAAAAGTAGTTGTCAATGGAATTACCTATAGTAGTAGAATTCACTGTTCCAGCCGTGACAAGAATAAATTGGGCAACGTTACTATATTACTAACTTTTTTTTAGGAGTACATCAATGGAAAACTGTTTGAAACACCCCTTGAAATTAACAATATCCAAGTAGTTATTCATATTGTTGGTTTTGTTTTCGATTTGCCTGCAGTGGCTTCAATCATCAATCATAAGCAGTATAATGGTGAATTTGGATGTCACTATTGCGAACATCCTGGTAGAACAATTGAAAGAAAACATGGTTCCGCTAGAATTTATTCACATTCAGATACAAATTATAATCTTAAAACATCTGAAATGTATGCCATATATGCTAGATTAGCCGAAAAATCAAAAGTATCTGTATTTGGAATTAAAGGCTCAAACATCTTTAGTGACATTTCATTTATTAAAGTGCCAGATATGATACTTATTGATGTGTTACATTTGTTTTACGAAAATTGCTCAAAAAAGCTTTTAGTTTGTTTATTTTCTGTTACCAATAAACACGAATCATTTTTTATTGGTAGTGCAAAATTAAATGCTATGGAAATCTTACTTGCTGATCAAAAAATGCCACATAACATGCCCAAGCCATTAACTATTAAATCATTCACACATTGGAAAGGCCATGACTTTAAAAACTTTATTTTATACTTAGCAGTTCCATATTTTTTACCATATTTGAATCCTGACTGCATGATGATGATTTATTCTCTAGTAACTGGTATGCGTTTGTGTAGCAGTGAAATATGTTTAGATAAGGTGTTGCTTATTAGTCAGCTGTTTAACTTTTATCAAAAATCATTGTCTGAGTTGCTTCCTTTTTATATGAATACTATAAATGTTCATTTGCTTGGTCATGTTAGCGATATTATTAAAATGCATGGAAGTGTTACAAATTACTCAATGCTCTGTTTTGAAGCTCGGCTAAGTAATTATAAAAAAATGATGAAGGGAACACATGGTCATCCACAACAGATTGTACAAAAATTTCTTGACTTCAAAACAGCTTCTTGTTTTTTGCAAACAACAGATCATCCTAAAAAAGTTGAAGTTTGTAAAGCATTAAATATTGGCATTATTGAACAAGAAGAATTGCAGTTGTTAAATCCGGGCAGATTGTTGAAACATGGTATTGTTTACCATTCAAAAGGTTATGGCAAACATAACAGCTACACTTGTCAATTTGGACATAATAAGTTTGGTATCATATTAGATTTTCCTTTAGTTGACAATGTAATACATGTTCAGTTACAACTATTGAATGTGAAGTGTAAGTTAGTTTCTACTTTTGGTGATATGATTGGAAATTTGGAAATTAACTTTGATGATGACTTTTTTTTTATTGTTGAACAAACAAAAAACATTGTTGTTATTTCAGCTGACACTTTAGTCTGCAAATGTATATTAATTAAAAGTAAATTAGATACAAAAGATGTATTAATTTTGACACCATTGAAAGAACTTTTCGAATATGCTTAGGGTGGCTAAATGTAAATTTTGTAATTAATAAATATGCTTCACATCATGCATGTGTGTTTTTTTATACTAACAAACATTTTTGTTTTTAATATTTTGATAATTTGATTTAAAATAATTTGATAATTTGATTGAACTTTTTTACAGGTTTATATTTTATTAAATAATGACTTACCCTGATAGAAATAGAACAAAGAAATTAGATTTTGTAGACACTCAAAAGCTTTCTTCTACGTTTGTTCTTTTATGGTACAAGGATTGTGAAAAAGATGAGCGGCATACCTCTCCCATATCACTTTCAAATACACTTTTTAAGCATTATTCATCCGTTGAATGCCTTGAATTTCAAGTGGTAAGTGTGTTAAAAAAAAAACTGACAGCATTTACCATACATAATATAATTAAAGTCCACCCTTAAATTTTATCCCCCCTCCCTATAATTGACAAAGAAGATAAATTTTGTTTTGTTTTTTTACATACCAGCTATTAGCTGAATATATCAGCTATCAGCTATTAGCTGAATATATAGAAGCCCACCTTAAAATAGAAGCAAGTATTTTAGATGCCCACGAATAAGATAAAAATGTTTTTTTTGTTTTTTTACATAGCTGAATATATAGAAGCCCACCCTAAAATGGAAGAAGTATTTTAGATGCCCACTTTTTAGGGATGTTGAAAAATGGAAGCCCCTGCTTTTATTATACTATTTATGGTGTGTTGATAATTAAATTTAATGTTTTTTACTTATTAGAAAAATGTAGTGCATGTTTCTATTGCAAATATACAACACGCAGCTGTCATCATCTATAAGGGGTCTATTACCCAATGCTGTAAATTTGAAACATTGCTAGATAACTTCATGGACGATTTTGGTGATGAAAATCCTAGCACTGATGAAGTAAGCAAGTTTGCCCTCAATTATATTGAAGGCAATACTGACGGAAAAAGAAAACATTCTGATGGAGACCAATCCTCAGGTAACTTATGTAATATAAATATGTGACAATGACAAGACAATATTATAGTAATTTTATTTAAAATTTACTCTTCTGTGTAGTGGTGAACTGGACCATGGTGCCGGAGTGCAATAGCACCCTGGGTCAAAAAAAAGGAGGTTACCTCTGTTACCAGACAGAGTTTAGTTATTATGTCTGCTACACAAGTAATAATTAATTAAACATTTTTGCTAAATAATAAAAAACTAGCTGGGGTGACCCGTAAAATACGGGTCTTTACCGAACCGACCATTTTTATACTTATCTATAGCTATCCGGACGTAAACTAAGGGTCTTAGTAAATCTATTCTACACCGACCTTTTCTATACTTATTCCTTACCTCAATATTTTTTTAAAACCGTTTAAAAATGTACATATAAAAAACTATACTTACTTTTTGATATGACAAAAACATTTCTGTTAAAATGTTCTTTTAAAAACTTCAAACGATTTTAATATTATGCCGATTATAAAAATTTTAATAAGAAAAAACGTAAAAAAGACTACGAACTTAGAAAAATGCTAAAACATTCAACACGTGACGCCGTTAAAGTACGCCTTAGTTAACGTTCATAACATATACACATCTAATTAGATTTTATTTAAACTCAGTTGTTGCAAACTTGGTTTTGAATTTTTAATTACACTTCTTATGCGTCATAAATAATCTTAAATTTAAATAGAAAATACGTTTATCGGCTAATTGGTAGACGCGCAACACTTAGGCATTTATAGTCATCTTACCCCGGGAGTTCATACTCCAGTGACTTTTTTTTTTCATCCCAGCTTACAACAAAAGTAATTAAAAATAAATGTTATCATTGAAACAGTTTTAAACATTTCTTCCTATTTATCTTTGAACTTAACTTTATTCACTGCAAACATACTTTTGGTGTTTGTAAGCGTTATTTTACGTTTAGTATTTGCAGGAATTATTTGCACGCACGTATTTTAAACAATTATTTTTACTGTTTCATCTAAAAATCTTATTTAATTTAGTTTAATAATTTCTTAAATATAATATATATAATATAATTTAAAATATTTTATTAACCCTATTTAAATAAGTATCAAAACTCTTTCCTTTAATTTAAAAAGAATTTAAAATTAACGTAGGCTATAACGATATTTTACCCTTTCATCAACATTTATTTAAAAAGTAAATTGGATATAGAAAAACGGGTTAAAGACTTATTATTTTAAATAAGTTAGCTTTATCTATTTAATGCTTTTCGTAAAAGTGTTTCTTTAAAGACTCTTAACAAATCATTCAAGCTGTTTTTACTGCCTAAGTTATTAAACCTGTTGTGTGTGCCAAAAATCGATACTTAATGCAAATGGAAACTTCGAGTGCTAATGGTGATTAAAGCATAAATGGTTCCTATTCATATATAATAAAAGGAAATATGAAAGACAAAGCAAAAATGATTTTTATATCCATTTAAACCAATAAATCCCAAAATAAAAAAATATAGATATTTACTTAAAAACATATTTTTCTTGATATAAAATAAAAATATAACCTTTAGTACAAATTACAAAAAAAAAATTTATTCAACAGAGCTACTTATAATACAATTTAAATTGAATCATTGTTTCATAAATATTAAGCTTTAGGTAAGCCATAATCAAGTCAGCTATAAGAAACGGAACTAAAAATGGAACAAAGTTATTTAAACGCATAATCATAATCATACACATTAATTACAAATTAACATGTCATGCAATCAATACTTTTGAAAACTCAAAAATGCGAATAAGAAACTTACTTTTTTATTTTTACATAACCCTGACAGACCAACATGAATGTGAGCTAAATCTATTTGCATAAAACATCACAACAATTAATTAAATAGCAGAACCACCTCCAAAGGACAAAAAAATTAGTTTTTTAAGGAAAATTAGAGTTATTGGGAGGGGAGGTATTAATAAATAAAAAAGCTCAACTTGAATTTAAAAATTAGTTCATAGTTTTGTTGAGAGTTATTGAGTTATTCTGAGTTTATTATACATATTTTAAACTACTGACACCACACACTTATATTCTTAGTTCTGGAAGGTGCTAGATAGAATTTGATTGTGTGAAAACCAAATCCCTTTGAGAACATTTAACATTCATGGGAAAAATAAAAAACAACACAAAAATAAATTTACAAAAATATATTACAAAAAAAAAAATGAAGTGGCTCAAAAGTTGTCAATTTCTTTACATTTTAATATGTAAAAAAATTATTGACAACTTTTGCGCCACGTTGTCTTCTCCTCCCAGCATCCGCTCTATTCCCCGTGTTGTATTGGGTGATATCCCTCCATCTAAAGGAGGGATGGTCGTCCCCATACAAACACCAGCGATGGAAGGCCCTCATAGATAGAGGGCCTGGATGCTGGGAGCGATACTTTCTGAATTCTTCCCATGACTTCGAGCCTGAAAAAAAAATTATATATAAATACAACTATGTACCAAGGTAATACTTACAAAAAATCTACTGTAAAAAAACAATAAAAGCAAATAATGTAATAAATTAAGTACAAGTGAGCACAACAACTTATTTATTTTACTCACTAATACTTGACTTATTACATTTACTAATTAAACTGGAAAGCACATTTGTAGCTATATTAAAAAACAAAAGGTACAATAAAAGCAATCAATCAATGTAATAAGTCAAGTAAAGGTGAATATAACAACTTACTTGTAACAGAAGAAGCAGCAGCTAGAGATAAATAAAAGAAAATTAAAAATGCAATAAAACCAATTAATCCATAAATTAAGTCAAGTATAAGTGAATAGAACAACTTACTTGTAACAGAAGAAGCAGCAGCTAGAGATAAATAAAAGAAAATTAAAAATGCAATAAAAACAATCAATCAATGTAATAAATTAAGTAAAAGTGACTTACTTATAACAGAAGAAGCAGCTAGAGATAAATAAAAGAAAGTTAAAAATGCAATAAAACCAATTAATCCAATTTAAGTCAAGTATAAGTGAATAGAACAACTTACTTGTAACAGAAGAAGCAGCAGCTAGAGATAAATAAAAGAAAATTAAAAATGCAATAAAACCAATTAATCCATAAATTAAGTCAAGTATAAGTGAATAGAACAACTTACTTGTAACAGAAGAAGCAGCAGCTAGAGATAAATAAAAGAAAATTAAAAATGCAATAAAACCAATTAATCCATAAATTAAGTCAAGTATAAGTGAGTACAACAACATACGTTACTGAGGAAGTTGGATTTGTCACTATATAAGTGATTACATTATATTATTTATTAAAACTTTTATGAGACATAAAACATAATATAGTTACTTACAAATGTAGTTTAAAATGATATCTAAAAAAATTGACCAAAAAGTACAAAGTCCAAAACTAATCTCAAATTGAAAAAACGCATTTAATATTAGATGTACATAAATAATTAGGGTGTATAATAAACATAAAAGCAATTTTACTCACCTATGGACTTTTGTAAATCTTCTAATTTTTCTAAATAGATGAACAAATTACTAAAGCCAACCTCATTATTTTTTATTTAATATACATAAAAGTAATATAATGAAATTTTGCTTACTAACTCTACTTTCTAAATTTTCTAAATAAACAAAATGTATGAAAGATTAGTTCATAAATTTATTTACTGTAACATAAACTTCGAAAAAACTGAAGTAAAAAAGAAAAAATAGAAAATGCTAACTTTGATTATCTAAGAATTCTTTCAAATAAGGCAGAAAAGACTCTGTCTCTTCTGCCACTATCTCCTGCGCATCTAAGATATACACACAATACAATATATACATTTAGCATATCATATGATAAAGCACTACATCTAGTCTAGAAAATATAATAATCACAACATCTGGTCTAGAAAATAAATTCCAAGTTTCTAGTTGAAAAACACATAAAGATTTTTTTCTTATTTCAAGATTTGAATTTTACATATAATAATGAAATTTCACTATTAAATAGCTGCGTGTATATAACTATATAACTATTACCAACAATCAAATTACTATTAGTATACAAATATTTGATAAAAAATATGCTACTGATTTCTCCATACTTGAAATAAATTTTTTATAACTATCACTATATATAAATAAAAATTGTTTACTTCTAAAGAAATTATAGTTTACTTACTTCTAAAAAAGTCACCATCATCGTCTAAAAAGAGAATTACTTGATATTTTTATTTATTTCCAATAAATAAAATATGATAGCAGTGCTTATTTTGTCTATCAGTTAACCCAACACTGTTTATAAGAGTGTAAATTGTTTGTCTATTTATATTTATATATTTATATATGCGTACTAAATAAAGTATAGCGTTTGTGCTGTATACGCATATATTAGATATATATAGATATATAGATATAATATCTAATATAAGCGCATATAGCACTAACACACATATGCAATAAATACATACCGTTTAAATTTTCTTGTGTGTTCATTTCTAAAATAAAAAGTAAATATTTATTCTCAATTCTTACACATATTCTTAAGTCTAATTTAACTTAAAATCATAAAAACTTAATTTGAAGATTTTAGATATTCAAAACAGTAACTCACTCAGATTCTAAAACTATAAGAGAGCTATAATGAGCGCGTGGCTGTCTTTTGAGTTGTTTAAGCATCCAGTTGGCTTGCAAAATGTAATCTTTAATCGCTTATATTTCTTTAGATTTTAAAATACGCTGTTCGAAAATCGGATTTGGAGTATTTATAATTAAGAGAATTATGTAATTTATGCAAACAAAAAGAAGGGGAAATTCAAGGGTTGCAAGACGTCCGGCTTTTATGAAGAAGAAAGCAGTAAAAGAACTGAACTGTATATGTTTGGGACTATATTCTACTCTGTAAAAGCCGGTCATTTGGCAAACCTAAGTAAAAATGATGTTACACATTACAAAGAGACAATATATATCAGGAAATTGGAATCCTGTGTTTAAGCGAGTCATTGTGCGATAGTTCTTTTCAAATTGTTTTTGCTGCTTTTTGAAACTTAAATTACAATTATAAAATAAAATGAAAAAAAGACATCAAATATAAATACTGGAAAGTTTTCATACTGTTTTAATAGACCAATAGAATAATTTATCGATGAAAACAAAGTTTCTTAGACCCGCAGTACTCCTACAACACCACACTAAAACAGTTTCTCTACCACACATAACATTTTCTACTATTCCTAACATAGTTGTTATTGGTGACTAAAATTAGAAGAGCATAAGATTTTTTTTTTTACTTAACAAAATAAGAGTTATAGATTTTTCTATAACTCTAACTAAAATGCTACAAAAGAACTCGGTTTCCTGTAAAACGTTTTTCGAAAATAAATAGAAAAAGCTTTGTTTTTTATTGTGGTGTTAAATCGAATGAAACAATAATTGTTTATGGATTAAGTAATAAAGGTCCGGTAACTTTATTTATCTAAGACAATTTGTAATTTATTTTTCTGCCATACACTAAAAAATATCAAAGTAAATGGTTGGTGTGAATTAAGTTTTTATGATGCCTAAGTATGCGCAATTTTTCCACATACTTTTGGTTTATTAGAATCGTATATTTATATCATATGCCAATATTTTGATGATTCGAAACAAAAACTTTGAATTGAAGATTTTTAAGGTATTTTAAAGAAATAACGCCATCTAACGTAGTGATGAGCAGATTCGAAAATTACGTGGACCTAACAAAAGTGTATTTAACATAGTTACCAATTACGTGACATTTCTCTTTCCATTCGACGACGATTTATCTCAGCTCGCCTGGGCTCATCTCTTTCATTTCGACGGCGGTTTATCTCAGCTCGCCTAGCCTGCCTTCTTTCATTTTGACGAAGTCTAATAATTTCATTTCTTAAATTATTAGACATAATTAGGCATCAAAGGAGTGTGTAAAAATGATGCCTAATATAATAAAAGTTGAAGTTTCTTTTTTAAACTTATCTAAAATAAAGTGTAAGCAAATAATACAGAGCATAATACTATAATCTATTATATTCTACCATATATAGCATTGTGTTAAGATAACATAGTTTTATTAAAAACTTAAACTAAAGTTATAAATTAATGTAATATTTTCAACTAAGTATTGTTTATATATTTATGGTAGTTGTTATCAATTATTGACAAAATATTATAAGTATTTAATCAAAAAAAAAACAAAAAAAACAAATGTAATTTAAAAAACAAATTTTTTACATATAAGAACTCATAAATAAAGCAAATTAAAAAAATTTAAGGCCTGTCAACTCAGCAGGTACTGCTAGCATGGAAGGATAAAATGTAATCATCCATCAACAAAACCCTTTCATTACTTTGAAAGGCATTTAACGCAAGATTTGCAATAAATAAATACAAAACTACTAAAAGAACCTCTATAAACAATCATATATTTGCTTCAAGTGAAGAAACTTGGAAATATTGAAACTTCTTTTACTATTTTATTTTTTTTTAAATATTTAATATTCTAAAGAAAAAGGGACAATAATTTAAGGCAAAAAAATTAAAATGTCTATACATATAATATATGTATAGACATTTTAATTCTATATATTTTATTGTGTGTGTGTGTGTGTCTATATACATATATATATATATATATATATATATATATATATATATATATATATATATATATATATATATATATATATATATATATATATATATATATATATATTTTTTTTTTTTTTTAACATCTTCACTTCCAACAAGGCTGCAAGCAACCACTATAAGAGTTGGAAGTTACTGGAAGAGAAAAGACTAAATCTGTAGAGCAAGATAACGATTGACTGATGACTTAAAAGATTGCAAATTATATGAATCAGGAAAGCAAGATGAAGGAAGCGAATTCCAAAGAACTGATGTTCGAGGAAAAAAACTAGAAGAATAAGAGTTTTTGAAGCACTTAGGAACAGTCACAGAAAAAGGATGAGACTTAATTGAATGGCGAGTAACACGAGAATGAATTTTAGTAGATGGCACAAGGGACGCTAGCTCTTTAGAGCAGTGCCCATTATAGTATTTGTAGAAAAGAGAAAGAGAAGCAACATTACGACGATGTGACAAAGGTTGGAGATTGGCTGCCAGAGCAGGTCCAACTATGTTTATAATTCGTTTTTGCACCTTGTCTAAAAGAGAAAGAGCATCGTTAGAAGATCCGCCCCAGATGTGGCAACAGTATTCCATACAGGGACGGATTTGAGATTTACAGAGATAGAGAATAGAATCTGGAGTAAGAAAGTGTCGAGCTCGATAAAGAGATGCAACCTTAGCAGATGCTAATTTTGCAATAGATTTGATATACGGTTTAAAAGAAAGATCAGAAGTAAGAGTTAATCCTAGAAGATGAATGGTAGATGACTCATCTAGTACATTACCATTCATAAATATAGGAAGATCTAAATTATTACGATAACGATTGGCCGAATAAAATTGAGTTTTATCTGAATTAAAGTTCACCAGCCACTGTGAGCCCCATGCTGTAGCAGAAGTGAGATCCTTTTCAAGCTCAGATACCCCCTCCAAGCAATCAGAGAGTGTATATATATATATATATATATATATATATATATATATATATACATATATATATATATATATATATATATATATATATATATATATATATATATATATATATATATATATATATATATATATATATATATATATATATTGATGTACATACAAAACATTAAAATAATAATATAAAGAAAACATTCTCTATACAAAAAATCCTAAAAATTTAACAAAAGTTATTAAAACTTATGCTTCAACACGCTGTATACTTACTTTTATATATATAAAAAAAATTTGAGTTAAACATATTTAATGAAGAAAATCAAAACTCTTAAAAATTTTAATGAGGAGGAGCTGTAAGTAAAGCCTGCTTTTTAACAAAATTTATTTATTGTCAAAAGCATACATTGTTAAGAACAGAGGATAACAACATTAAAACACATTTTTTAAACAATATTTTTTCAACACATTTTAGAAATACACTAATTACAAACAGAATTAATTTATGTGTTTTATTATGACAATACACCACTCTGCTGACGAGGACAATATTTTTGCTCTCAACAAAGCCAGGTCACATTATAGCAAAGTACACCACTTGGCTAGCGAGGTCAACAATCTTGCTGTAAACTAAGCCCAGTCACAACAATTTGAAACCATGCAAACAACATAATTATCACTTACAAACTATAAACATATTACATATAACACACCACAAACATTGAAAAATTTCATATATTTACACACTTACAAAATATAAACCCATATAACCTTAACACATATATACACAATAAAACACAATATAAATAACACACATATATAGATAAATATATAAATTAAGAAAAATATATAAATTTGAAACTTTACAAATACAACCTTATTTTTGTTTTTTGAAATACCTCGTAATAAATGTTTAACAACTTTCAAAAACAAACTATCAAACAATCTGGTTTTTTATACGGATTTTTATAACTTCTTTTAAATAAGGTATTAAACGATCTTGTTCTTTAACATGTAACATTGAGTTGACCGTGTGAGATGCAAGTGTTTTAAACACTAACTTTATCAAGAGTTTGACCTCTTGACCTTTGAAATGAGCAACGTCTTCTTGAGTCGTCTTTTAATTTAAAAATTAGAGATTAATTTTATAAATTAACAAATTTAAATACAATTGACAAAAGACTAAAATGCATGATTTAAATAAATCACCTGACTTTAAAAGTTACTTTACTAATTCAATAATAACATAATGTTCATCCTTTACTACAGAAGTTATCAAATAAAAATTGTTGATCTTATCACTAATTAAGCTGATGAAACAAAGTTTTTGATCTCATTACTGATTAAGCAGATACTGACAGATTATTAAGATTTGAAAGAGCCCCAGTAGGCGAGTTCAGAAGTAAAGCAATTTATGATAAAACTCAAAGGCCAAGTATGGTAAAAAAATCCGTGTAAAGGTGCACGAATGGTGAGCAGCAGCGTTAAGTTAAGTATTAATTATAAGCGATGACACAAAATTCACACAAAAATTATCAACACAAGTTAAAGTTGCACTATCCGATGGTAGGTGGGGATCTATTGGATCCACTAGTAGCCTAGCCCCTAGTACACCCATGATTATATGTTTGTAACCACAACTTGTTCATGTTTTTTTTTATAGATTCAGAGAATATTGCACCGGTCTCAGAACATACAGGCCTAAACGGACCTAAATATAAATCGACTCCTAAATCAAAGGTGCTGAAAAAAAACATGTAAATGAAGTGTTGAATGAAAATTCAGGTAATTTTAATAATATTACAATTTTGTTTATGTAATTTCTTGAACATATTTTTATTGTCTTCATTTATAGAATCAGAGTCCTTTGCATCATTTTATAACAGTCAAAAAGCATCTAAAAAAAGTGAAGCACAGATTATGGCTTTGGAAAAGCGGAAGCTTGACATGCTACTTGACAATGTTGATGCTCCCAGAGCATTGATGCTTCCAATAATTAGTGATGTTCCTAAAACAAAACACTGTGGTTCACCGAAGTTAAGCAAACTATCTTGTTTAGAAGGTTAGTTACAGTCCTATAGTATGAATACTGTGTTTGCCTAAGTTCTACCATATTGTACTTGTACATAGAAGTGCTATATATTTTTTTTAACATTAGCAATTTTGATTGAACAAAAGAAACTTCTTTTTGAACAAAAGAAGACCAACAAACTGTTGTCTGAAATTTTGCGCCCAATAGAAAAAGAATCTGTAAATAATGATAATGTAAGTCAATTTAATTTTTGTAATTTAATTAAAAAAAGCTCATCCAATGAGAGCACAACTTGCTAGTATTTACCAAATTGAATAAAAGAAATATTGATTGCTAAAGGAAAGGTACATTTATATACAAAAGGTTGCATAATTTGACCATCCATTGAAAAATGTTTACTAAATCCGAACTTATCTGTATTATACTTTTTAGGCCGTGTATACTGGTTTTGATGCCGAATTTAAATTGCACGACATTCAAAAACGAGAACCATGTAGCTTTGCAAGAAAATTTATTTTGTTGCGATTCGGAAAGGAGTTTACTTGCACGCGTATTTGTGAACCAAACGGACCTACTGCACGCATTCATATGGAGAATGAAGAAATTCAGGAAGTTAAAGGTGCACTTGACAAAGTGTTTACGTCTTACAACTGGCGTGTTGTTCGGGCGAGTATTAATCAATTTTTCCGAGACAATAAAAGTAGTACAAAAGTTTGAAGACTAAACAAATGAGTGACATTTTTCTCGTGGTGTGGGGTTGTCAGCGTTTTTCGCTTATCCCCCCCCCCCCCCCCATTCTATCTGTAATGTGTTTTGTATGTTTTGTGTGTTAAATAAATACACCATCTTATTTATTCTAAATTTAGTAGTTTATTTAATTTTTAAAATTCGAATTTAGTATGAATTGAAAGTGTACATAAATGTTTCTTTCAAATGTCAACTTTCAGCGCTGCTGCTAGACGATAATAAAATTGCAAAGAGTTTTATTGTCAATATCGCGAGATTATTGCCCAATATAATTGCAATTTTATTGCGAGATTATTGCCCAAGATATTGGCCAATATTATTACAATTTTATTGTCAATATTGCAATATTATTGCCCAATATATTGCCAATCCATTGCAAGTTATTGGCAATATTGGCCAATAAAATTGCAATATTATTGCAATTAAAAAAAAATATATTGATTAGTGTAAGACGCCTTTTTTTAGTCGAATATGCAAATTTAAAAATGTGTTTTTTCTCGGGGTCGGAACGACTTTTTTGCCATATTTTTTAGTATACTATAGTATCCTATACACTATAGTATTCCTACTTTTCTTATATAATTTTTTTTTTTTTTTCAAATGAAAATGATAATGGCTCTTCATACAAAGTATCACAAAAAGCTTTTTCGATGCCGAGAAAAAAACCTCTTTTAGATGTCAATATAAAAGAGGAAACATTTTCTAAATCATTTATGTATTTAAGTATAGGAGAATAATTTATAAATAAAACAATAGTATTGTTCAACAGAATATTTTTTCATCTTTCTCTTTCTTTTCTGTTTCTTGAGCGAGCTCTATTTCTTGGCGTTGTTGAATAAAATTAACAATTTCACGTCGAGAAATCATTTCACACGAGCAGGTTACAACTTCTAAAAAATATTGCAAGCCTATTGAATGCTTCTTTTTTTCTATCGTTCGTTTAACTGGCACTTGAACAAGTAAATGTAGAAAGAAATTGTTTACAGGTTTTATTTTTTGTCTGAAAATAAATATTTTAATTTCAAACATATTACTGCAATTGTATATTTATTTCAGTATATTTTATAAATATACTGAAATGAATATACAATTACAGCTGATTATAATCGGAAGATGCAAAAGTGGATGGCGTGGTGCCAGTAAGATGGTATCGATATGATCTAGTCTCAATTAAGTTAGTCACAGGTAAGTGTTTTAAAAAATTTGACTATTTTTTAGACTATTTTTTTAATGTACTGTGCTTGAAGAACGTTGTTTATTACATATTGCAGCAATATTTTTTTTTAAGGGCAAAACGTTTTTTTGAGACCGACGCCAATAGGCAGACGGAAGCAATTCGTGGCGGAATTTTTGAGGTAAAGGAGTTTAAAAGCCGCTTAGTAAAACTTTTTTATTTTCATTTTTTATATATTCAAAAATTTATCCTTGTTTTTTTTTTTTTTTTTTTTTTTTTTTCTAATTCTTTTTTATTAACAGCTTCTTCTATTAAATACGATGGAGCGACTGAAACTATTATTGATGACATTTTGTTTAACTTCTTATGCGCTCCATTTCGAAAAGGTGGCGGAAAAGAAAAAGTTTTGATTGATTGATATAAATTTATATTTATAAAAATCAATCTAAAACTTCCTTATTGAAATATTTACATATATTTCAATAAAGAAATATTTTCTTTTTGTCTGCATATTTTTTTTTTTTCAGTGTTAATTCAACATTACAAATTAAAACTCAATTATGAAAACCTAGGATTGAGTTGATGCATTAAGTAAAATAAGAAAAGCCAAAAATGTAACTGATGTAATATTTTTATTTTTTAATAAAAAAAAAATTCTAACAATGTTTAAAATTGGTAATAATATTAATGTTTATTACATGAAAATGAGTAAAAAATAAGTTACAAGTTATTTTTGGTCTTTAAAATTGTTTGAATGATAATTTATTGTTTATTAAAATATTTTCTTTTTTAACTTTTGTTGCTTTTATATTTCGATTAAAAGTAGATATTATTGTGTTATATATTATAATATACCTTATATTATACTATTATATTTTATATTAATAATGAGTATTTTTGTATTTCTTTTTTTGTTCAATGTTCCATAATTATCTTATGTAGATGTTTAGGTTTTAACAACCTAGGATTCTTTCATTATTTTTATTTGTTATTGAGCCTTAAGTTATTTGAACATAACATATTCAGAACTCTGCTGAATAATAGAGTAATAAATAAATTATTAAAAATGAGTTTAAAATATAATAAATTTATAAAATAAAGAAAATCATATCTTTGCTAATAATGTCGACTAATATTGTTATTTATTATTAGCAAGTATCATGGTTATAAAATGTTCAAATTTAGCTAGTTTAATTAGGCCTGTTAGTACACTTATATTATGGTTTCTTTATTTTATTATTAGTTCATGTAATTTTTTCAAAATCGAATATGTGGAAAGGAGCTGTTTGGAATAAAGATTTACAAGAAGAAGTAGTTCCATCTAATTGGATTGGTGATAAAACTGTTTTTCGGCTTGCAGGTACCAAATCATTGACTGTACTAAAATGCAGAGAAAAATAGGCTTAAGTTTATACAAACAAAAAACTATATTCTCTTCAGAAATTTTATCTATATATTACAATAATTATTTTTTAAATAATGTGGTAAGAAGAGTTATTTTGTTGATACAAAATATATAGCTATTTGTATAACTATTTCAATTCCAAAAGAAAGCAAACAGTATAGTGAAAATTTTAAATTCACAACTACAAAAGAACAATGTGAGAATGTTGACAAGTGGGTGCAAGATTTGCACACAAGTGGAAACTTGAAAATTTTCCACTTGTGTGATTTGGATTCTCCTTCAAATTTTCCACTTGTGTGGTTTGGATTCTCCACAATATATTAAATCTCCACAAGCATAATATATACTTTATGTTTTTTACAGAGAAATCAATTACAGTTAATTGGTGAAACGTCTTTTAAAGATAGATTACACAAAATTATGCTGAGGCAGTCAAATACAGTATTGGATACTTACCTCATTTATAATCAGGGTGTCTGAGCTCCTCTAAAATCCTCTAAAGTCATAAAGCTTGTCTCAGCCAATTATATAACAGAATATATATATAATAGAATATATCTATCAGTGCTATGAAAATGAAGCGATTATTCCTGTGTTTCAATTATCAGAACTATATCAATTGTTTTGCAACCGTATGAAAAGTTATGATAAAAGTTTTAACTGTGAAAACAAAACTAGGCTAAAAGAAAAAGTTTTAAACCTTGTACCAGAGTTAGGGGAATTTAAAAAAGGTAGAGAAGTTTTGCTGACGTTTAAAGCGGATCTGGGAAAGTGCTATTTCTGATGCTTGTTATTTAACGAATGAGGAAGAAGGAATATGTTTAGTAAAAGCAGCAACTATTTTGCGAAAACAAATTTTTAAGTACTGATAATGTCTCAACAATTTCAAATGATTTAGAAAGTGAACTTACCCCAAACATATTAAAAAGCTTTGTTAGAATGGTGTTATATGGACAGAAGGTAAAATATGCTAACAATAATTCAGCACATACCAAAGTTGTAGCAACTGTTTCTCAACTCATATTTTACAATTGTTTAAAAAAAAATGTCGAAGCCAAACGAGAAGGAAAACATACCCGTCATAAAGCAGGTACAATGTATGTTTAAACATACATTCCAAAACACGAAAGAAAGGAATTGTAAATAATTTAGCAAAGTTCGGAGTTAGTGTACCTCAAACAAGAGTTGATGCCATTAAAACCACACTTTCAAATCAACTATGCAAGCTTTACAATGATAACAATACGGTTTGTCCTCCTTCACTCATTGAAAATGTTTTTACAACTGCAGCAATTGATAACATTGATCACAACCCTTCTTCTAGTACAGCTACTAAATCTTTTCATGAAACATCAATCTCCATATTTCAACATGCTGAGATAGACTTACCTGTAAAGAGGTATGATTATGATTTTTCGGAAAAAGCAACTAACGCTTTTTTGAAGTTACCATCATACTACACAACAATAACGCCTACTAAAGACTATTCTATGGAGTATCCTATACAAACAACAAATTTCCACCAATTCGAGAACTTTGATGCTTTTAGTGATTCAAGAGAATGGTTTACAGCTGTAGTTAAAGTTTTACAAAATAAATCAGAAGGGGAAGAAACAACGCACATTTCTTGAACTGCATTAAATTCAAAGACAATCATAGATGAACAGAAAACAAAAAAATACTTCTATTTTGTTGCCAATCATTAATGAATCGATCAACTCAACATCTATGGTAAGACAAACTTTTAATATAGTTAAAAAAGTTCTCGCAAAAATCAACCCAACTCAAGTGCCTATGATAACTGCTGACCAACCAGTTTATGCATAGGGTAAACAAGTTCAGTGGCACTACCCGGAACTGTATGGCGAAGATAAAATTTCAATGATGCTGGGAGGTTTACATATAAATTTGGCCTGCTTATCTTTGGTTGGAGATTGGTTAGAAGGCAGTGGTCGGTGTGATGCAATAACTAAAGCTGATATAACAAATTCTGGACGAGCTGTATCTATGCTCACTGTTTGAAAAGTAAAACGTTCAAGGTATGCAGCACAAGTTGCACTAGCTGGTTTTTATTCTCTATTGACTGAAGCATTCCAGAAAGTATCTACAACATCCTTTGACTTGTGGATCCATGAACAAAGAACAGCATACACCCAATTTAATTATTGGTTTAATGTTATGGAGCTGCAAGCAATAGTCCTGTTGCTTGTTAAGAGTTTCAAAATGGGAAATTTTAATATGTTTATCAGTGCCTTGGAACAAATTGTTCCTTGGATGTTTGCTTTAGATCACACGCACTATGCTAGATGGCTTCCAATTTTTCTTGCTGACATAAAGATGCTTCCTTATAAACACCCTGAGGTTTACACTGAGTTCTGCAAAGGTTTTTTTCACATTTCAAAAGACAAGACGCCCTTTTTCATATATGGCTATTGACCAGGCCCATGAACAAAACATCAAAATCATAAAAGGAGATGGCGGCTCAATTGACTTTTTACATAGCCCAAGTGCATTGATAAAGTGGATGGTGTGTGA